TTGACTATTTAAATTATTTATAAAGGTCACTGTTGTATTATAAACAGGCAAAATATCTATTAGGTAATTTTTTGTTTATTTTTTAAAAATAAGCTCCAATAGTTTAATAAATTTAGATTTTTATATATTTAGTTAGTACTAATTTGTTCTATTTTTTACATCTTTTTTTCTTTTAAAATTAATATTTGAAAATATATATAGCAGAGACCTGCAGAGGCACCATTTGCACGGCCCGGCCCGGTTTTAATTTTTTTAGGCCCGGCCCGGATATTTTTTAAAAAAAATTTTTACGGCCCGGCCCTGATTTAAAAATTTAAGGCCCGGCCTGGCCCGGATATTTTTAAAAAAAAATTTTTACGGCCCGGCTCAGGCCCGGCTCGGAATTTTTTAAAATTATATTCGACCTCGTATATACAAAAATTCACCTATGAGGTATTTTACCATATTTTTCAGCGAGTATTATCGCTTATTATTTAAAAAATACATGTAAAAAGCTAATATTTTGAGAATATTATATTGAATTTATAAAAATTATAAAACTGTTATTTATAAAAATGGATACTTTGAGCATATACTATATTTTATATTGCATTTATAAAAATAAAACTAAAATTCATAAAAATGGTAATAATATTTTGAGCATATACTATATTTTATATTGCATTTAAAAAAAATAAAACTAATATTTAATTTATAAAAATGGAAAATATTTTGAGAATATAATATATTGTATTTAATTTACTATTTAATTTATAAAATAAAAATAAATCGCTATTTAAAAAAATGCATGTATAATAAATAGTATTTTGAAAATATAATCTAATTGCACAATATTTATATAATTTATTTTATAATATAAATTTTTAACAAAAGAAGATAATTGTATTATATAATATTGTAAAAAAAAATAATGAAAAAGGTTGGATTAAAAACTTTCATAACTCAAGGTAAAATATAATAAATATTTGACAGTTTGCAAAGTTAAAAACCAGCATGATTGACGAAACCCTATACTCAAGAAGGATATTAAAAATTTACAAATTATCATGAAGATAGAGAAGCATATCTACCTTTTCAGGTTGAAGATTACTTCTTCTTTCTTTAAGAATTCTCCCAATAGTGGAAAAATTCCGCTCACAGCTTGCACTTGAAGCAGGAATTGCCAATACCCGTTTTGCCAATTTTGCTAAAATTGGAAATTCGCTTTGATGAGCCGCCCACCACTCTAACAAATTATCCACCTTAAATGTTTCATCTATTTTTTTATTTATGTAATTATAATATTCATCATCGGGTATTGACATATTACCAGAATTACCATCGCCCCATTTGTCATATAACGATTCAGTTTGTTTAACAACAGTCGTAATTTGACTGGTCGATGGTATTTCATTTACTTCCTGAGCCTCTTGTAATTTAATATAATCTTATATAGTTTTCCGTCATCTTGCGATCTGTCCCTGACAACATACGTAATTGCTTGAATTTGGGCAGAGAAAAAGAGAAATAAAATGATACTTGTGTAAAACAAATTTTTATTTCTCCTTTTTCGCTTTGAAAGGTATTACAAACTTCAAGAAGTTCATAATACCAAATTACCACTTTAAAAAGAGTACAAGAGTCCGATTGTAACTCAACAATAGCTCTGTTAAAATTCTCAAGAATTTTGACTAGATCCTGAAGGATCAAAAAGTCTATAATATAATACTTCTCCGATCCCCCATGTTCTTGAAGAACTTTTATAATTTCTTCATTTTGAGAATAAACAGAATTGAGCATATTGTATTTAGAGTTCCAGCGGACTTCTATATCTTGATAAAGGGCTTTCAAATGCTGGCATTTATTACTTTGTTTTAAATGCCCCACTAATATTTTAGTATTATCTATTGTTGATTTTATTAATGGGGCATTACTTTCCAAATATTTGAAGTTAAATGAATTTCTTAAAATTGTATTTAATATATGACAAGAACAATTTAATCGTTCATTTAACTCCAATGCTTTTATAATATTTTTCTTGGCCTGTAACAAATATTATATTAATAAAATCGTTAGTGTTAAAATTAAAATTATGAAAATTTTTTAATAGTTCATCCTTAACTACTTTGCTAGTCTTTGACACTTCTTTAAATATAGCGGTAAATAGGTTACTCTTCACTAACTTCCAGTCATCTGATATATAGTGCATGTTAACTGTTATAAACGAGTTCTTTTTATGGTCATCGCACCATATATCAGTGGAAGCAGCCATAAATCGATTCTTGATTACTGGGGCAATAGTATCAACCAAAATGTTTCTTATTTTATTACATATTTCTTTAAGGTGGCGTGATAGAGTGGTGGGATGTGAAATCAATGAGTTGATATCTATTTTACCATACTTTGCCCCAACATCGACTAGAGCCTGGCTGAATTCAAGAAACCAATTCCCAGCTATCATTTCGAAAGGTCTAATATCTTTTGCGCAAAGTGTTAAGGAATGTATATAAATTTTTCTTTTGAATATTTTATATTGGTTTTTCAGTTGTAAAAAAAATTTATTAATTTTCATGGATTTACCATCACATTTATGTCTTTTTAAATGTGATGTACCATGTTTATAATTATAAGATAATATACTTGAACAATTCTTACATTGTACGTAGCCAATATTTTTTTTATTTTCATCTATGATGATGTTAAACTTAGCCCATTTTTCAGATTTTAAATTATTATTTGTATTTCTAAAAGAATAAATATTATTTTTAATTTTATTAATTATATCATTAGTATTTTGTGCCATGATATTCCTTTATTTGATTGTTTTGGTAAATATTCTAAAAATTTAGATATGAATTATAAAAAAAATATATTAATAATACTTGAATATTGGGGCTTATTTAAGATATTCCTTTATTTGATTGTTTTGGTAAAATATGTTGTAAAAATTTAGATATGAATTATAAAAAAATATATTAATACTTTGAATAGATTTGCAGGAAATTAATAATTAGATCGATCTGTGGGTGTTAGGTAGTGTTAACCATCACCCAATATTATATTAATCATAACTATAATATAATATAATCTTATAACTATTAACTCATAATGTAAAAAATTTTTATAAAAAATATTAAGGCCCCGCCCGGGTTTAACAATTAGGCCCGGCCCGGATATATTTTTAAAAAAAATTTTATGCCCGGCCCGGATATGTTTAAAAAAAAATTTTTTAGGCCCGGCCCGAGTATATTTATAAAATTTTAAATACGGCCCGGGCTTAGGGCCGGGCCTGCAGGTCTCTGATATATAGTATAAGTGCATAAATATTTTCCAGAAAGGGGACGTCTTATTAAGGGTTTTTCTTGAACTATTTGATATAACTATTTATTCATCTTGTAAGGGAAAATAACAATAAATGAGGGTTTCAATCAATTATGAAATTGTCTATCGATACGATATAAGAAATTCAATTTATTACATTATTTATAATTTATTATAAAATTATTTGCCCATATAACATATATTTAATGAATATTAATAAAATATGTTCAACCAATTTTTGAGTTCTTGAATATATGAATTCTTGTGTATTTCATATATGGCGCTAAATTACTCCATTCTTTTATTTCAACGCAACAATCGTTATATCAAAACCATCTAAAATTGAACTGATGAAAGCCCATATTTAATTTTATCTTATTTTTCAGAAAACTTTAGCTTTATAGAAGTTATAAATTTAATCCTGATACAAAGTTATCACTGGAATAGGACTCAATCTACTCTTCACCCTTTCGTTATTTATTATAAAGATAATTTAGCCAATATTTGTTTCCTAAATTATGTAATGATATCCGAATCTTTGCAACATAACACAATAGCAGTGCATTATTTCCAAAAACATTGTTAATTTTTTTAATTAAAAGATTTTGTATGCCAAATAAGTTTTTTTATTATCCTGATGGAACCGCAGTACAGTATATAAATCGTAAAATTTTTATTAATATTTACCATCATGAAATGGATTTCGGGATACAGGCGGAACGGCATTTTTCTTCAATAATACACGGGAAAGTGCTTATGATGGGATTGGTGGTACTGTTAAAAGATTAGCCGCTAGAGGAAGTTTACAAAATCCTTACTCAGAGCAAATAATATAATTTAATAAAATGGAGATATGCTTACCTGAATGAAGGCAGATAATGGTAAAAATATGATTTTTATCCCTCTGAATCCTGACATTTCCAGAAATATAAATGTTAGGAGACTAAAATTTTGGTTATCTCTTAGTTATATTAACCTTTTTTTGCTTACCAAATTAAAAATCGAAGGGAGTCAGCTTTAATATTATTTTTAACTATTTATAGCAGAATTTATAATGCTTGAGAATGTTCAAAAAGGATTTTTCATTAAATTTTCTAAATTCCAAAAAAAATATTTAAAATCACAAATTTTTTTTAATCTTAAAATTAATCTTCAATTTTATTATCTTCAAAAAAAATTTGGGCTTAAAAATCAATGAAGATTTTCAACTCTGATTTATAGTTTTACTCATGGAAATGAAACTTAAAACATCTTGTTCGCACTCTAGTTTCACTTAAATTTACTGAAGGTTTCTATATCCTTAATTACTCACTTTTTTGCATTTGACTAAAAAGTTATAGTATATAATAAAATTCTAAAAAATGGATTTATCATAATTTAAATATATCTAAAATTAAAAAAAAATTGTTTAAATATCTTATAGTTTTCGCCAGAGAGTATGGTATATAGTATCGCTCTCTTGAAAAATTGATCTTAGTAAACATAGAACCATATAATATTAAGACAGCGATATGTTATCAGCAGCCTCCATAATTAGGCAAGTTGCGTATTGCTTGATTAATATCCTAATGTAAATCCGTGAATTTCCAATATAAGTATATTAATTAAAAATAATTCAAAAGTTCATAGCTCGATATAAATTTTAGACACTTTTGTATGTGGATGTTGTCGATAATATTATATAAATATTAATGTAAAAGGATCCTGGAGAGATAATTGACAATGCATTAAACATAATTGATCGAACAGTTTTGTCTGGAAACAGATTAGGAAATGATAGCATACTATTAGACGCCAAAGAAAAGGGGAACGTTTTTGGTCGATTGGGAACAATTGAAGGTAAATGGTTTAAACTATTCTATAATGATTATAGTTTCTTTTAGTGGAGATTAATTTTCAAAATATACTTTATTAAAATGTTTTGTTTTGATTATAAAATTATTCCACATATGAAGTAGCGTTATTTTATATTTATTTAGCATACATGATTGGTTTTTTAAAATTAACTTTCTTTTATTGCTATACTATTCTTATTTACGAATAGCAAATTATTCGATTTATTCAAAAGAATCGAATATGAATAATTTATTATTTTATCTAATCTTGGCATTTCAAGTATTTTATTTATTAAAATTAGTATAATATGCCCACTTTTATTTTTTAAAATTCTGACTAAATTTAATTTATCTTACATTATGATGTAGAAATTGAATATCTACATTCGATAGAACCAAGCCAAGATAATACTAAAATGGAAGATGACACTGAGGAAGGATTATTAAATGAACGTTGCAAATTTTGGCCTCTTTGCAAAAATGGAGAGCAATGCAGTTATAAACACCCTACCCTACCTTGCAAGTTAAAAAATTTTGATATTAATATATGAAATTGCTTAAAATAATTCATTCATTAAAATGTTAATAATTTTATTAATGGCGAATCTATCTTATTACATGCTACTTGACTACTGATTTAAAATAATTTTTAAATTGTATTTTAACACTCGAGTGTATTTTTTCTAAAAAATATTTTAGTTGACTGGAAGAGATATTTTATTATTATATTAAGAATAATCGGTAAGTGGGAACATTGTGTTATTTTCTCAACTTTGTATCATTTTTTAGAGCACCCTTTTAAAAATTTAAAGATCTGATATTACCGGAAATGTATTTTAATGCTTAGAATATCTACTCTATGAATTTCACACATTTTTCCATAGTCATTTTAAATAGATAAATAATAAGGCGGGTGGGTAAATTTTTTAAAAAAATTATAAGTGTGTGGTTGGGCAGGTTAAATAAAATTTAAAACGAGTGGGCGGGTTTTAGGCTAAAAACCCGCCTATTGCAGACCTCTAGGTAGGTATTCACGTTAGAATCATCATTTGGTAAAATCAGATTTTTTTTAAAAAGTGCTCAAAAAATGATTTAAAATTGAAAAATAACATCATGGCTCACAAAGTCTCCACTTACCGAATAATCATTATAGTAATTATATAAATGCTTACTAATGAATTATTCACTCAACTTTTTTTTTATTAAAAAAGAAATTTCCCTGATTGTACATTTGGTGACAAATGTTTATACATACATCCTAACTGTAAGTTCGATGCCCATTGCACTAAAAAGGACTGTCCTTACACCCACGCTAGTATTAGGAAAGAATTGTTTCATCCGAACAACAAATCTCAGTACCCAACAGTGTATAGTAAGTCGCTTACTGGGCTGCCTCTTTCCACTAATAAAGTTCCGGTTCCTAACTCCGCTTCTCCTCCTGTCTTAAGACGTAATAAACAATTATTATAATAAAAATTGACTATATTATATTTTAATATTAAAAATGATTTCCCAATTTAATTTTATCCTTCTTAAAATAAGTATTTATTTTTTTAGCCATTTCTACCATACCATGTAAATTTGGAGTAGGATGTTTTAATTCTCAATGTCTCTTCATGCACCCACCGGTAATCTTAACTAATCTTTATTAAATATCTAAAATAAATTTTTTTAAAAAATATTAATGCCTAATGTATATAAATCATAATTTTTCACTGGTTATATACTCATTCATTATCGAAATTGGTGAGCATAATGAGTTACTTAATTCCATAGATACCTACTATTAAAAGAAATTATTTACTAATTACAATTACTTTTCTAAAATTGGATTACCAAAATAGGATTTTTTTGTTACTTTTATATATCTCTTAATATAACTTAAATTAATCTTAGCATATAGGCATCGTTTGATGACAATCATAATAAATATGCAAAGTTTTATATAAAATAGAATATATATCAGAGACCTGCAGAGGTACCATTTACACGGCCCGGCTTTAAATTTTTTAGGCCCGGCCCGGATACTTTTTAAAAAAATTTTTTACGGCCCAGCCCGGATTTAAAAATTTAAGGCCCGGCCCGGATATTTTTTTAAAAAAAAATTTCAGGCTCAGCTCGGAATTTTTTAAAATTATATTCGACCTGGTATATACAAAAATTCACCTATGAGGTATTTTACCAGATTTTTCAGTGAGTATTATTGGTTATTATTTAAAAAATACATGTAAAAAGCTAATATTTTGAGAATATTATATTGAATTTATAAAATTATAAAACTGTTATTTATAAAAATGGATATTTTGAGCATATACTATATTTTATATTGCATTTATAAAAATAAAACTAATATTCACAAAAATGGTAATAATATTTTGAGCATATACTATATTTTATATTGCATTTAAAAATAATAAAACTAATATATAATTTATAAAAATGGAAAATATTTTGAGAATATGATATATTGTATTTAATTTACTATTTAATTTATAAAATAAAAATAAATCGCTATTTAAAAAAATGCATGTATAATAAATAGTATTTTGAAAATATAATCTAATTGCACAATATTTATATAATTTATTTTATAATATAAATTTTTAACAAAAGAAGATAATTGTATTATATAATATTGTAAAAAAAAATAATGAAAAAGGTTGGATTAAAAACTTTCATAACTCAAGGTAAAATATAATAAATATTTGACAGTTTGCAAAGTAAAAAACCAGCAAGATTGACGAAACCCTATACTCAAGAAGGATATTAAAAATTTACAAATTATCATGAAGATAGAGAAGCATATCTACCTTTTCAGGTTGAAGATTACTTCTTCTTTCTTTAAGAATTCTCCCAGTAGTGGAAAAATTCCGCTCACAGCTTGCACTTGAAGCAGGAATTGCCAATACCCGTTTTGCCAAAATTGGAAATTCGCTTTGATGAGCCGCCCACCACTCTAACAAATTATCCACCTTAAATGTTTCATCTATTTTTTTATTTATGTAATTATAATATTCATCATCGGGTATTGACATATTACCAGAATTACCATCGCCCCATTTGTCATATAACGATTCAGTTTGTTTAACAACAGTCGTAATTTGACTGGTCGATGGTATTTCATTTACTTCCTGAGCCTCTTGTAATTTAATATAATCTTTTATATAGTTTTCCGTCATCTTGCGATCTGTCCCTGACAACATACGTAATTGCTTGAATTTGGGCAGAGAAAAGAGAAATAAAATGATACATGTGTAAAACAAATTTTTCAATTAAAAAATGCTTTATATTAAGTAAAATCAATTTTATTTCTCCTTTTTCGCTTTGAAAGGTATTACAAACTTCAAGAAGTGATATTCCTTTATTTGATTGTTTTGGTAAGATATATTCTAAAAATTTAGATATGAATTATAAAAAAGTATATTAATAATACTTGAATATTGGGGCTTATTTAAGATATTCCTTTATTTGATTGTTTTGGTAAAATATTTGTAAAAATTTATATATGAATTATAGAAAAATATATTAATACTTTGAATAAATTTGCAAGAAATTAATAAGATCGATCTGTGGGTGTTAGGTAGTGTTAACCATCACCCAATATTATATTAATCATAACTATAATATAATATAATCTTATAACCATTAACTCATAATGTAAAAATTTTTATGAAAAATATTAAGGCCCGGCCCAGCCCGGGTTTAACAATCTTAGGCCCGGCCCGGATATATTTAAAAAAAAATTTTTTAGGCATGGCCTAGCCCGGATATGTTTAAAAAAAATTTTTTTAGGCCCGACCCGGGTATATTTAAAAAAATTTAAATACGGTCCAGGCCGGGGGCTTAGGGCCGAGCCTGCAGGTCTCTGATATATATATTATTGATATCGATGTTAATAAAGTACCGCTTTCACTCACTTTTTAAATAGGCTAGAATTTCAAGTTCGGTTTCTTTTGCAAATAGGGGTGTACTGATACCAATTTTTGGAAGCCGATTCGATTCAGACAATCTAATTTTGTATTTGTAAAGATACCAATGGTTTTAATTTTTAATATGCTTTTTATTAGTATAACATCTATAATTTAACTATACCAAAACATGTCATTTAAATATATTATAATGATCATATCAATTGCAATTCTAAAAATATATAAAATATTTTTATTGATAAATCACTTATTTATATAATTAATAATAAATTTAATCTATTTACATAATAAATAATAAACAAATATATTATGAAATTTGATATTAATATATAGAAGATTTCTTTTTAGAAATACTATAAAATTCAATTTATCAAGTTAGCCTGCGGCGATGGGGACTGTCAATATCACCAGCTTTACTAAAAACAGATTCTGAAGAGATTATCGCACACTTTTATAAACAGAATGCGCAAAAATAACAATATGGCAGAATGTTTATTAATTAATTATTCTTAAAAAATAAGCATAAAAATGGATTTCAATTTTATTTATAAAAATAAATGGTTTAGATATAACTTTTTTTTAAAAATTTATAACATTTTTTAATTGTTAAAAACGCCATTTTTTATCGGATCGAAAAAGTTTATAATATTGGTCGACAATCGATATTTTAAAATGGGTGAAATATCGGCCCGATCTGATAAAAAATATCGGTACGTCCCTAATGGCAAATAAATGAATAGTATTTAAATCTAGCAAAGAGTTGGTCTATAATTTCATAATTAACAATTTATTCCATCCTAAAATTCAAACCATTTAAATTGAAAGTAAGGAAGCAAAATAGTGCCTGAAATGAGTAGTTTACATTGTCATTGAATTTTTCAGCAAACCTTTTGTTAAAACCATTATGCCCTTCAAATAGATGCGAATAAGTTAAAATTAGCCCTTTTGTTCATAATTACTCTTTTATTTAAAATAAATTATTCAATCTTATTTTTGTACTCATTTTGCTAATTACGAATCAATTACTGCCTAATTCTAGCCGGCAAGCCTATCCAATTTCTTGTAATATGGAAATTTTTTTAAATAGATTCCATTTATATGTTTAATAATTACTATTTTTAAGGACTGCAAATTTGGGAACTATTGCACCAGAGCTGATTGTATTTTCGCCCATCCTCAAGCTTTAATAAAGTCTAAAATGAAATGGGTATCACCTAATTACAATAATATTCCTCAAACTAGCACACAAATCATTACTACCTCAGTTAATAGAAATATGTTTGTCGCTAAAAGGAGCAATATGGATAATACTACTTTGTTGATGACTTCGTCATAAATGGAATAATATTTATTTTATTCCCAATTAAATATTTAATTAGACGCATAAGTGTTATTGAAATACTATATAAAATATTCTACTCAATTATAACCATTGTTTCATTTTCGCTATATAAATTATAGTATTTTATTTAATTAAAATAAATTGACAAACATGTTGTATTGTACTAAATTTATATTTTTCAAATCTATCTTTCATTATTTATATTAAAAAACATGAAAAATTCTGAGCTCAGTCATTTTTTTTTATATAAATTAACAATTAGCTTGTAATTGAAAAAATGGAGATTAATACGACTAGCAGATATTCAACAAGCGCGTAAATGAATCTTGGGAAGAAAATGGCCCATAGCATTAAATGTCTTCTATGAATAAAAATGCAAACGGTGCAACAAAAAATCTAAAAAAATATATAAAGTTTAAAAAAACGAATTCTTTTTAAAAATAAATTTGTTAACTACAAGAACAAAATAGTTGTTAAATTAAATCATAATATTTCAACAAATTATTATAACCTTGATAAACGAAAGGGTGATAAAGATTGTACTATACGTGCTTTCTAGAGCGTCAATATTTGTTTGGTAAATCCTCGACAATATTATAGGAGAATTTGTAAATATAGGAAACATCAATGTCAATAAAATCTTGATAAAATAATGAATTTTTTTTATTGTACGAAGAAAGTCACTAGCCAGTGTTTAATCCTGAAGAAAATGAAATCCGGACTGGACCGTGGTCACTAAGAGGTTTGGACTTAATGCTGCATTTATTTATAGTAAACACGATTTGCTCAACAAAATTTTTCACTATATAGCTTTAGACAATCAAGCCAATAATATGTACAATTTATAAATACTAGGCGAAATGATGAAATCATGTAAAAAACATATGTTGCGACACGAGGATAGACGATTCAGGTGTAATTTCGCTAGCAATTAATTTCATAATGCTCGAGCGAGTCGTGCTTATTATAAATGCAATGTAAAACTTAAATAATGGAGCCAGTTAACCTTCCTTTAATCGTTACTATAAATTATAAACAGTTAATATTCTGATAAATATGTTATAAATTTTAGAGGTAGAAAAAAAAAGCTGCACCAGCACCTAATTTTTTTGCCGATAGATATCGATAACATAGATATGTATTATATTTATATTTAGACCAAAGATACTATACAATTTTTTGAGCATAAATCCAACCTCAAGACAAATAAACCATATATGTGTGATATTCATTTAGATTTTGCCGGACCCATTGACGGAGATTAGTTATAATATAATAGAGAGTTTCAGTAAGTGGTCAGAAATGCAAAAACCCTGAAAATAATTTTAAGCGAGTAAGAAAACTATAATTTGAAGACTTTTTTACTTTGAATACTCCAATATTATTTACAGCAAATGGATCCCCATTACAAAGTCAATAATTCAGTATATTATGCAAACAATTATCAATTACCATCAACGATCAAATCGAGAGGCGGTCTTAGTACAAACTTAAAAGTATATAAAAAACATGAGTAAGAAGAGATTTCCTTTTTAGATATCTAAATACTCCATAAATAACAAAAATCGACGTTACATTTTTCTTAAATTTGAATTAATAGGTCCACTACAATTACTAAAACAAATTAATCCCTATACACACCTCAATACCTTATTTCAAAAAATGTATATGAGAATATACGCAAAAGATTTTAAAAACGATAACTGGGTACCTAGGGTATTTTCATTAAAAGAACAGGACCGATGATATTTTTAGCTGGAACTAATTAAGGTTTATGGAGAAAACATATAATCATTTTAAATACAGATTCAACTTTTCTAAGTTAAAATACCCAGGACAAAGAGTATCAAAAGAAACTGAAAACCATACCATCTATAGACTTATAGCGATGTAATTATTCCTACCCAAATTTTAATATCTGAAGTCATGTCAGAAACCGTAATAACCAAATAGGCTTAAATCGCTCCTCAAAATCTACTTGAGTAACCGAAAGTTCTCCCAGTGCGTAGAAGGTCGTTATCTAAAACGGATGAGGAAACAATTTATTCCATTTCAAATCGAGGGTTATAAAATTAAAATTACCAAAAAACAACAATAATATTGGATATCGACCCGATTTGATTTTATAAAAACGGTAAATATCGGCCCCTATTTGATCTAATATTGAGTAATAGTTTATATGTTTTAGTTATAATTTAATTTTTGAATATTGAAAAAATTTTTGTTTTCGGTTCGAAATCTAGTGCAGGTATGTTTCGGATAAATTTTATTCAGTGAAAGAATGCCATTTAAAATTATTTTAGTGTTATGAGACATAATACATTCAATTTTAAATTGGCTAGCAAAAAATAAGGCCGATAATGGGCATCGGCGCAGTGCTGGTCATAATTTTAAAAGAAACTATTTAAATCGTACATATTAATAAAAAATTATGAACTTGACTACTAAATGTATTCAGGATTATCAGGTAAGCAGATATAAATCTATTGGGCTCGCTGGAAATTATGCTTTTAAAGCGATATAAAAAACTAAACATGGTAGAATCAAATTTTGTCATGCTTTCAGATGCCATTCCTTCAAAAGCAGAGTGCCATTTGATAGCCGAAATTTCGTTTTGATGATGTGTCAGGAAAAATGCGAAGTTCGACAACGAGAACCATATAAATGCGTACAAAAGAACACCTGCATATTAACGATTTTTAGATATTATTTTATCGGTATTTGGTTTGTAAATAATTTATCATACAATATACACTATATTTTATATATAATAATAAACTATGTAGTCGCAGTTTGGGTGTCATCGCACAAGTTGAACTTTTTGTGAAAGACATTCGTAAGCATATAATTAGGCAGGACAGAATGAGAAGAAAGCAACATTGATATATGCTTTCTCTCGTATTAATTAATAATATAACAGGTAGAATAAAGCTTATCATCTCGATCCTTTTATTAAATCTTAAAATCTGTTCGTCATATACAACTTTAGATAAATGTATGTTATCATCTTCCTGTATAATTATGGTTGGAGTTAGTATACAAGCATAAAAAGAAACTCCTATGATTATTCTGGAAGTCAAGTATTGTATAAAGGCCAACGATAAAGTAATACTTAAATTATGAGTCGTTATATCTTTCAGGCATTCCGAGAACCAATATATAAATAAGCTGAAAAATACTAATAGGGACAAATTACTGGTTATATTTTTAGGTTCCAATTTCCCATTTTTGTTTAAGTAATCGCGGAAATGTTTTATTGCCTTAAAACACGTGTAAGGTATCATAGTACTCAAAATAAGACCCCAAATAAACGATAAGAATGGTAATGTTATAATATAACTATAGAACGCCTTTTCGTTGATTGGTATTGTCAAAGATTGATTCCCGAATTCTGAAACGCCAAAAATAGCATGTCGCAATAAATTACCTTCTTGGCATATACCGGCTTCAACTGTTTCAGATCTGCATTTACTATCAAATAAATGGTAAGTCTGTTCAGCGCTATCGTATATGTGATCGGTTAAACTGACTCTTACGAGGAAACATATGATAAAGACAGGAAAAAATGTTTTAACGATTAATTTAGTAAAAATTATAGGCCGTGCTTTATAATACAAGACCGAGGTTATCTTGATAATGCCTAAAGTAATGAGCGAGGTTTGAAGGGCAAATCTGTTAACTAGAAATTCTCGAATGACATAACTATTGGAGAAGAGACTAATAGATGGTATTATGTAAAATGTAATCCATAACCAATCGGATATCAAAAAATTGCGATTGTAAGATGTGCCTTTACAATCCATATAATTATTTTGGGATACCTTAATATTTATTTTATTAGTAATTTCCACCTGTTTATTCATCTCGGCGAAATATTTCTCGGTTTTTAGGTCATACATTACAGAATGGCCTAAATTATAATGTTCGTATTTTTTAGAATCAATATTGTAAGTTTTTTTTGACGAGTTATAGGATATTTTATAATAGTAAGCAGAGAGAACTAACAAACAAATGTTCACAGTAATCAATGCGTAACTGACAGTGCAATGTAAAAACTTGATAACGAGTAACTTTAGGGTATGATGGGATAGATAATATAAAGTTAAGTAAAGCATTAAAATAACAGTTATGGCGGAAAAAAACCATTTCACCCTATACAATATAGGATTATCAATGAATTTTTCATTTTTGTCCTCTTTATTTTCATGTGAAATCATTTTTGTATTATCTTGTTTCAAACTGCGATTATATTTAAAATTATCATCCTTCTTTTCAAAATTTTTATCTCTATCGTCGTTTAGATAGTTGTCTATAATGGTTTTGATTATAATGAGAAATGCCAATAAATTGATAACAAAAAAAGCAAGACCTAAGTATATGTGAACATAATCAAAAGCTACCCAATATTTACGAGCAAATCGTTGAAGAAGATTCAAATAATTTTGAGATTCCTTTATATAAGCGTCCGTTGTGCGAAGCATATATGAAATTTGGGGAGCTTTTAAATAAAAACGTTTTTTAAAAAAAAATTTATACTTTGCTTTCAATTCAAATTGAGCCATAATGAAGGGAAGTAAATTATTTTCATGTTATGAAAAATTAAAAAAATATCACAGAAAACTTTAAATGATAATATTATATACTACCTACTATATCATGATTACTAAAATTAGATGTAGATGTGATGTTTCGAATTTCTTCCATAAGGTGTAATAAATAAGAATAAGTTTTTTTAATGGCAATTCTCTCCGATGGTATAAGTCGCGATTCTAATTGATGAAAATCCCAAATATTTTGAACCTGTGTTAAATAAGTTTTCATTGAAAAAAAAAAATTTTCTCGTTAGCTGTTCCAAAAAAATGAAAATAAATTCATCAAAATGAATCGTTTACGAACTTTCAAAAAAAATAAAACAAAATGTTTCACCATCATTATAACTATTTTTGATTTCCGGTTTTTCGTTTATGCTTCACGCTTTATCAATTTAAAGGTAATGTAATTATTGTATAAGAGTGTAATAACCTGTTTGATATTGGTTTCAAACATAGCTGCTAATCGCATATTACGCGTAAATTTATCGGGAAAATTTCCGAAAAATTGAGTTATAGTCTTGCCAAAGCTGGAATATGGGATAGGAAAACGAAGTAAATGAGCCAATGTAGGAACTAAATCGATTTGGAACATTACGTCTGGATTGGAAGCCTAATGAATAATTAAACAAATTTTTATCAGGAAAATAAATTGAATTCAATAATTGCTTTAACCCAGTATAATTTAATATGAGATGCAACTTAATATTAGAGATCTGTGGTAGATGTCGGCATTGGGCGGGTTTTTGGACCATAAGCCCGCTAACCCATTATTATAAAAAAATTAACCCGCCCGCCCATAATTTTCAAAAAAATATACCCGCCCGACTATTAGTTTAAAATTGCTTACCCGCCCGCTCATTAGTCTAAAAAATTTTTATCCGCCCACCCATTATTTATAAAAAAATTTTAATCCAATTCTGTAATAAAATTTAATTATGGCCATTCTTTCAATTTTTTAAGCATCTAATAAAAAATTTCAGCATTACAACTCTACAAAATGTTTTTAGGCAATTACTATATTTATAGCATAAAAAAATATTCAATTAAAATTATGAATAATTTATTTTATCAAATAAAATATTAATGAAAATAATATAAATATAAAAATAATAAAAAGTAATAATGAATCGACATTTTCTGGATTCAAACACGTTCTACTTTGCTCTAAAAATCCAGAAATGCTAAATCTTCGTTCAGAAGAAGCACTAGTTGCAGGAATTACAAATATTTTTCTTGTCTCTTTCTTCTCGTTTCCACCAAAGTAGTTTTAAATATACAAAAAAGTTTTTATACCAAAATAGGACATTTTAATTTTTAATATCCCAAAAAGTTCATAGGAACAATTTTTTATATATTTACTTAAATGATTTAAATTTTTAACCCATACCCATTGTTTAAATTTTTCAACCCACCCACCCATAGTTTAAAATTATTTAACCCGCCTGCCAGCCCGTTCTTAATAAATTTTTTGCCCGTCCACCTGCCCTCCCACTTAGATGGGCGAACGGGCCAAAACCCCATCCAATGAAGACCTCTAATCTGTGCCAATGCCATTTTTGAGGTCAATCTAATTTTGCTAATATCAAGTTTAATATTATCTAATTATTGATAATAGCGAGCAAAAATATCTACAATTCAATATAGGTATTCATAAATAATTTTTTTTAACATTTTGATGTTGGATTGGTCAATTTAACAATATTGATAACTGATATTCTAAAAAATACAAATAATTATGCAAATTTAATCTGAAATTGATTAAGTATATCTATTAATTATGATAAATTTATCAAAAATGTCGCAATATAATTTAAAGGCTATAATCATATTAATTAATATTATTTATTTTACATCATATTTTAAACAGTCATAATTACCTGTCTCGATTGTTCTGCAAAATTTGGTTGTTTGGAATGAGCAAAAAGAAATGATTCTATTTCCAGTTTGCTTTCGCCACCATGGTCACCATTATTTGTGCTTCCATGATCTCCTAGGACTATAATTAATGTTTGGTTATCCATAAGTTGAATTAAATCCCTTAGCAAATAATGAAATTTTTAAATATCATGAATTAAATTCCATAATGTTTTTTAACCCTCACAATGAATTATTAAATATCTACATATTGGCTTATCTATCATATTTAAAAATATTCAAAAAAGCTAGTATAAGTATTTTTTTTGTATATATTACATTTGAAGATTATTCAATAAAGCTGAAAAATTTTTAATTAATCATTTATTTTTAATAAAGTTAAGAAAAACCTTATAAATTCATCCATTTGTATAAGCTTTTCAGCCATTTTTATATGATTAACTCCTAACCAATGACCACAATGGTCTACACCTAAAAAATGTCCAATAATTATATCCCAATCATTTGATTTTATAATTGTAAATATATTATCTAAAATCCCATTATCAACAGTGTGTAGATCTTTGACAATAAATGATGGAAATGGATAAATTTTATAAAATATATCTGAAGAGTACAGTGATATCCAAGTGTCATCTCCTAAAAAAATAACTTTTTTGCCTTGTTTAGCAAGTTGATATATAATATTATCTTCGCTTATAACTTTGCTATCAAATGAGTCCTTTATCTCAAAAAATGTAGGTATTGAACCAATCGTTAAAGCTTTTAATCTTTGCCCAGTTGTTGTTGGTGGATCAGCAATCAGTTTAAAGAAAAGATTTTGTTTTAATTTTGTTTCATCATTATATAATTTATTCATATATAAAAATTTATTATGAAAATAATCTTGACTTCTATTTTGATTGTGAAAAAAATCATAGCGTAAGGCGTCAATAATGATTATTATACATTTATTAAATGAAGAGTTATCTAATATTTTGTTTTCTATATCACTTTTATGAGCTATGTTTTTATAATAGGATGATTGTTTAATTTGTATAAAGCCTTTTAGAAAAATTACGATGGATAAAATACCTAAATGAGCATGTGTATTAATTAAAAATTCAATATTACTTGACAATAAAATTGATAGCGTGAGTTTTTGAAAAATTTTCATTACATATGATTTTAGGATTGCTGTAGGATTCTGCTTCAGGGTTTAAGTCAGCCACTTATTTTCATTAAAGGGCAAATTATATAAAAAGGCTGTTGATATGGCCCCCAAAGACAAATAATAATATATAAATTATAATTATCTAGTGCTGTAAAGTAACGTCAAAAGTAACACTATTTGTTACCTTCTTCTAGAGATAACGAGTAACGGTAACGAGTTTCTTTTATTTGAGTAACGGTAACTCAAAACGTTACTCGTTACTTTAAATTTTTTCTTAAAAAATATTAAATAGAAGAACATATTTTATTGAACTATAAAATTACTTTTATTAATTTTTTAATATAAATAATTTAAGCCCAGTTTTTTAATTCATATCAACCCAATGATATATATATATATCATTGATTCAAACACATATATACAGTTGAATATATACTATCAGTAGTGGCTTCGCTAGGGGGGGCGCAGGGGCTCGAGTCCCCTGGGAAATTTGAATATCCACTTGAAGCAAAAAAAAAATTTTTTAATGGAATCTTAAGCCCTTGAATTAAAAATAAATTTTTTGATTGCCCCCTGAAAGATTTCTTTTATAATTCTATTAAGTAAAATATAGATTTAATTTTATTATTTAAAAATTAATAAGACTATCTAAATATTTATTAAATGAATACTATTAAATATTATAATTAATACATATAAATTATATTTTCACAATGTCAGCTTGCAATCAAATTTTGTGTTAAAAATAAAATATCAATATCACTCACTAAATATTAATTTAGCATCATTAACAGTTGAAGCTTAATTGACTATTATTATTTAATTATTTTATAACCCTAATTAAATAAATATAATCATTAATTAATTGAAAACTAAAAAATTTAATTTTTTAATTAGCAGAGTTCAATATGATTAATCACCTGTTTAAATTTTATTATCATACCTCTAATAAAAATTATAAATTCAAAATTATAAAAATAATCATAATAATAATTAATATGATGCAAAGACAAATTATAACACTAATCAATATAATAAATTTAATAACAAAAATTATTATGAAAATAGAAAATTAGATAATAAATATTATAAAGAAACACATTACAAAAAAAGGCATGAACATTATAATTATAAATCTCATAATAATAAAAACTTGAATTAAATTAAATCATGTAAATTAATACCAAATGTTAAAAACGAAATAGATTCTTATAAATTAAAAGAGATGAATTATATGATAATTTTTAAAGAAATAATTGTGATTAAAGATAATAATGAAATAAACATTAAAGAAAATAATAAAATAAAAAATTTTATAATTAATAAAAAATTTAAAAAAACTTTGAAAATAAAGAAACGTATTATAAATATTATAAAGATAGGCAAGGTAAAAGTTAAATAACTAAATGTTAAAAAAGTTTTTAAAAATGTGATATGGAGATCATTTGTTAAAAATGGAAGGCGAAAAAATTTTTTTTTTATAAAGGACAATTTGAAGATAAATTATGATATGAAGAAATTGTTTAAATTGAAAAATAAGGGAGTTAAATTTAAAAATAAAAATAATTGAAATTTATAATAAATAAGAAATTATTATATAAAACCAGAGTTGTACAAAAGTTCTTCTTTGAAGATTTTTGAGCGAGATCTAGCTCAAAAATTTGAGCAAGATCTTTGAAGATCGTAAAATTTGAAGATCTTTTATTTTTTAAAAATTTTGTGTAACGATCTTCAAAGATCTTCATGATATTTATTTTTTTACCCCTTTATTAAAAGCCCAGATGTTTTTCAATTTTCAAGGCAGGAGGAGAGGTATAAAACATAAAAGAAATATTATATTAATAAAATTGAAAAACATCTGGGCTTTTAATAAAGGGGTAAAAAAATAAATATCATGAAGATCTTTGAAGATCGTTACACAAAATTTTTAAAAAATAAAAGATCTTCAAATTTTACGATCTATTTTGAGCAAATGTACAACTCTGTATAAAACGCTACAATTCAAATATTCTATGATTCTTTATTAATATGATTATTATTCTTTTTCTATGAATGATTCTGATAAATTATTTATTCCATTATCATTTCAATTATTCCAAAATTATTTTATTTGAGATAAATACTAAATATAAGTGATAATAAATAACGAGATGAACAAGCTAATGGGATAATGATGATCAAGCGAATGATTAGACGATCAGGATAACATGCTAGTGATATGAACAAACCAATGAAAAAGATATGACTGAGGCTAAACAATGAACATAATATCAAATGAAAATTCTACAACAAAGTACAAAGATTTTTAGTTGAGGGGAAAGGAGTGATAGTTATTAAAGTGAAGAACAAGTTCAAGAATCCCAAGGTCAAAGTTCACAAGTTCAAAAACGGAATTATGGCTTACGACCTAGAAAAAAAAATTATTGTTATAAGTAAATAAAATTTTTGATAAAAAATATAAAAATTTAAAAGCGAAATGGAAATGGGATGAGCAAATACAAACAGAAAATTAACAAACGATGATTCAATGTACAAACAAACTCAAACCGTAACGATAATTCAATGATCAAACAAACTGAAGTCGTACTAAAAAATGAGTAATGGAGCAATAGAGAAACAAATGACTAGTGGTGAAGATGAGAAACTGAGGAATGAAGTCACTTAAAAAAGAGGGAAATGTTAAATATGTAAATAATGTAACCTTACTTTTATTTTTCTATATGTAAAAACTTTAAATCAAGCCTTTTAAATTGTTCTTTTCTTAAATTGACCTTAAAATAAATCTTAATTTTATAAAATCCTTCTTTTGTATATATGTTAATATTTATAAAAAAAATAATATATATATATATAAAATTGTAAAGAAGATATAGATATAAAAATTATTTTAGAAAAATAAAGTCTTTCAAATATTATTTTTTCATAATAAATTTTATCATTAATATTCTCTGCCTTCTGTGTTTTATCAGAAATGAATCGAGATTCTTTTGAAGATGATCTATTAAGCTTTTTTCAAGATAATAATTCTTTAAATATTTAAAATAAATTCTCTGAATCAAAAATATAATTTATTAAATATGATACAACTCTTCCATCCTCTGCGCCAATTGAAGATGTGTTATGCATGGCGAAAGCTGTGTTGAGTACAGCGTCTACATGAGCGGGAGGGGTAGGAACAGTTTGCATCCTATTTTTAAGGTGGGTAGATGGTAGGCTGCTCTAATGGGGGTAGGATAAATTTTTTGGGGGGTTATCTATTAAATTTTGTGATGAAATAGGACAAAATATATTGGTGTAAAAATTAATACTTTATTATAGAATTATTATAATACAATTCATCGACCAAATCTATATATTGCAAACAATCTTGCACATTGTTTTCCAAATAAAACTTTCTGCTATTCTTAAGCTCATAATGCTATCTAAAAAATAAATTTTTTATATTGACAAAATATCGATAGTTGGTAGTAGAGATAGATTAATATAAGTTATCCTTTATAAATTATCTGAAAAGAGTTTCAATAAATTAAAAAGGTGAAAATAATAATAGAAAGACACCGCAGCCGAAGGTGGCGCGAATTTTTAGGGGGGTAGGTAAAGATTTTTAAAGGGGGTTTGCATCCAGTGAAAATCCTGTCACGTAGACGCTGGTTGAGTACTTAGCGCTCTTGTTTGTCTGGTCAAAATTTTGAAAATCAATTGTTGCTAAAAATAAATAAAAAATTGTTACAAAAAGATGTTATCATATATGTAATATATTATTTTTGTATAATTTTATTTATATTATTATTATATATGTAAAATAATATTGATTATACCTTTCGGTTAAAATTTTATATTAAAATCATTGTTATATAATAGAGATTATACCTTTCAAGCCGAATTTCTTTGGAGGGTGGAATGTAAAATAATAGTGATTATACTTTTCGGTTGAAATTTTAACATCATTGTTAAATAATAGAGATTATACCTTTCGGGTCAAAATTTTATATTAACTTCTTTTTTTAATATATATCATTTTAATGTGACATTTGTTTATTCACTTAACATGTTTTTTTTTGATATATCAATTTGTATTGTTTAAAGAAAGATATATATAAAGATTGTTTTTGTTAAAAAAAGGGAGCACAAAAAAAATGTAATTCATCTTTTTTTTGAGAAAATAAAAATGTAATCTATTATAATGAAAATTTAAATTATTATAAGAAAATAAAATAAAATTATAACCTATATAAAATGATTCTCAAATAATAATGTGGATATGAACACAATTTTAACAATATAAATGAAAATGTTTTTTATAAATAGATTTTATCTTATTATTAATTCTTTTTGTACAGTATTATTTATATTATATATTGTAGGAAAAAATAAATATTATTTTGTATAATATTTGATTATTTGTATTGTATAATATTTAATTATTTGTATTGTATAAAATTTAATTATTTGTATTGTATAATATTTAATTATTTGTATAATTTTTAATTATTTTATAATATTTAATTTGTCTCGTTTTTTTGAATAGTCAGTAACGTGCGTTACTTTTTTAAAAAGGTAACGAGTAACAGTAACGCGTTTCTTCTTTCAGCACTATAATAATCTATTTAGTAAAATATTTGTTCCCTAAGTATTTATTTTGAAAGATTCAAATTTTATGGTTTCTTTTTTCAAGTATACAATATTTATTTGATATATTAATTTTGAGGTTCAGATTTTTTATTCAATAAGCTATATTAAAATAAAGTATAGAATATGATCATTTAGATACAAATTAATTATGAATATTACGTTAGGTCGTAATGAGTATCTCATATAAAATTGAAAAATAAATTATTATCCAAATTTTACATATCTAAATAGTAATCCTAAGCTTTCCTGTATATCATTATAGGATAATGTATATAATTTCTTTGAATTACATTATAACATATAATATGTCATTGGAATTGCATAATTTTAGACAGGTGTCTATTCATTATTTTAATTTAAAAGGACACTCTGATTTTCAAATATTTTTTAAATAATGATTTTATTTACTATTTTAAAATTTCATAGTAAATATAAGATTTTGCGCTATATAAAACATCTTCAAAATAATCACAGGAAACTTTCATATTTCTTTCCAAAACTATATCAAGTTTACCAATTACCTTTCAAGCTTACAAAAACTGCCATACCTATAGGAACAGGATTAATTTTAACCTTAGTCCTTCAAAATAAATCTACTGCATATTGCCTAAAATACAATGATTCTAACAGTATATCCTAAAATCAATATAAATTCATATTTTGTTTTTAGCTGAAAATTTGCTGAAAGCTTGTAAAATTAATGATATTAAAGAAGTAGAAAAGTTTGTATATTTAAATTATAATTTTTAACATTGTACTTATAAGAATTCTAAAATTAGAAACTGATGTAAATCAGCGTCATTATCTTGGATGGACCCCTCTTATGGTTGCTTCAATTAATGGAAATATAGAGTTAAATTATATATATATATATTGAAGATTGTAAATATTTTTTATAGTGTAGTTAAATTATTAATTGATGCAGGTGCAGATATTGATATGGAGGATAATTTTTCCAATATATATAATGCTGCCAAAGAATTTAATATGAATACTATGGATGTATTGTTGAAAAGAGAACAAGAATTCAGTGATATACTTAACATTAGAGCATCTTTTAAAGGGTGTACTGCCCTTCATTATTCAGTGCTAGTTGATAATATAGAAATGGCAAAATTTTTATTAAATTCAGGTATTTATCTCATAGAAATTCATCAATACTTATATCTAGGGGTGTACTGACTGATTTCCACTTTTTGGAGGCCGATCTGATCCAATATTTCCGATATTAAACTGATATTACCGATTACTGATTGAATATCATATCTAATTTTGTATTCTGTAAAGATATCAATGGTTTTAATTTTTAATATACTTTTTATTAGCATAATATCTAAAATTTAACTATACCATAACTTAGGTCATTAATATATTATAATGATCAGTTATAGTTTATATTCAATTTAATTGCAATTTTAAAGGTATATAAAATATTTTTATTATTAAATTACTTTTATATAATAAGTAATAACATTAAAGATTCTGAAGAGATTATCACACACCTTTATAAAGAGAATGCACAAAAGAAATAACAATATGGCAGAATGTTTATTAAATATTATTATTAGGGATGTACCGATATTTTTTTATCTGATTTGATCGGGCCAATATTTCACTCATTTTAAAATATCGGTTATCGACCAATATTATTAAATTTTCCGATCCGATATAAAATGGCGTTTTTAACAAAAATAAAATGTTATTTTTAAAAAATCATTTATTTTTATAAATAAAATCGAAATCCATTTTTATGTTTATTTTTTTAATAAGAATAATTAATTAATAAAAATTTTGCCATATTGTTATTTTTTATGTGCATTCTGTTTATAAAAGTGGGCTGGGCAATAATCTCTTCAGGATCTGTTTTTAGTGAAGCTGGTGATATTGACAGTTACCTTTGTTGCAGGCTGACCTCTGATAAATTGGAAATTTTGGTATTTCTAAAAAGAAATCTTTGATATATTAATGTTAAATATTATTTTAAATATTTATTTCAATTTTCATAATATATTTGTTTATCACTTATTATGTATATAGATTAATGTTATTACTTATTATATAAAAGTGATTTAACAATAAAAATATTTTATATACTTTTAGAATTGCAATTGAATTGAATATACACTATAATTGATCATTATAATATACATAAATGACATAAGTTATGGTATAGTTAAATTATAGATGTTATATAATAAAAAGTATATTAAAAATTAAAACCATTGGTACCTTTGCAGAATACAAAATTAGATATGATATCCGATAGGTAATCGGCCGATATGTGATTAATATCGGATGGCCTCCAAAAAGTGGTATCTTTATCAGAGTTTTTAAACGCTATTTTTAAAAGTAGCGTGCTACCGCTATAGCTATTTGTCAAAAAAATAGCGCGCTATTAGCTACTTTTTATAAAAAAAATTTTAGAAACAAATGAAACAAATTTTTTTTATTTATTTTTTGCTTATAATGTAAATGTATAATAAATAATATATAAAAATCAACATTTATAAATATAAAAATATAGTTAGTTTAGATTATAAAAAAATAAGCAATATAAATAATTATTTATTTTAATTTGTTGCATTTTAATAATAATATCATTTCAATATTATCATCCCCAAGTCTAGAGCGACGATCAGAAAGTATAAGCTTTTCTTTACTAAATAATCTCTCGACACTAGCACTTGAGGGCAAGGAATCTCTAAAAATATTTAATCAGATCAATTTATAAATATAAATAAGTTTTTACCTTCTGTTATGTGTCCAACTATCTGCCGGTGTACATATATAAGATATATCTGATAACTCTACTATTAGAGCATCTTTCATCATTTTAAAGTTATCTGCTATTTTATTCATTAGTGTCTGGCGTAAAATTGTTGTACCAGGGGATAGAGTTTTAATCATCATGGTAAATGATAGATTATCAACCAAGGACATTGGCTGAACTGTATAAATTATAAAATCAACAATAACTTTATCAGCCAATTTTTGTGAAATATTGGCATGTTTATTATCAGTTAATTTGGATAGTATTTGTCTTTTTGAATGAAGATTCTCTTATACCAAAATTTTTTATATGTTTCTCTATTTACTTATAGCAATAGGCGTGAACAGTCTAATAAAATAAATAATATTATAATGTAAAAATAACAATTTACCTTTAGGTGTTTCTTCAGGTTATATCTACTCGATTAATTTGATGCTATATTTTTTTTACATTTTAAGCACAGGAAATTGAATCCAGATTTTGTTTTAATATTTATTTTAAAAAATTTTTCAAATCTAGGGAATGGGAAATCGTTATTAGAGCTATTAAGTACATTTTCTTCCATTGAATCTTCCATGTCTGAATCACTTTCAAGGATTTGGATATCCATGGGCGATGCCATTTTAGATTATTAACACAGATTGAAAATATAAATTAAAAATTGAAAATATATTTAAATTTCAAAATTAAATAATAAATTATAAAAATTATAATTAATTATGATATTATATATAAATTTTCATGTTTATACTTACAATTCATTATATTTTTTAAAAGTAGCGCGCTAAAAAATTAAATAATTTTAAAAAAGTAGCGGCTATTAGCTATAGCTACCAAAAAAGATAGCGCGCTAAGTAGCGCGCTACTTTAACAACTCTGATCGGTACACCCCTAATTATTATATTAAACATAAAAATGGATTTCGATTTTATTTATAAAAATAAATATTTTAGATACAATTTTTTATAAAAATTTTATAACATTTTATTTTTAAAGACGCCATTTTATATCGGATCGGAAAATGTTATTATATAACCTATATTTTAAAATGGGTGAAATATCGATCCGATCCGATAAAAATATCGGTGTATCCCTACTTATATCAATTTTTTTTAAATCATTTATTTAAAACATATCAAAATTTGCTTAATATATTTTGAGTCAAAAAATAGAAAGCCCTAATCCAGCCCTTTTAAAAGATGTTTTATGCCCGAAACTGATTTGAGGCCAAACTTCAAGGTCAGGTGCTTAACCAAGAGTTTTCTAAAGGAGGGGGTGGGGGGTAATTTTTTAAATATTGAAATTTTTTTTAGAACAATATAAATATAGTAGAATTAATAAATATAAAATTTATTATAACCAAAAAATGACAATTTCAACAGCAAATAATAAAATATTGTTAAAAAATATTATAGCTATAGCCAATATGTAAGTCATAGTAAAATATAAAATTAATCATTATATGATGATTAAAAAGTTAATCAAAATATCATTCATTTGCGATTGCACCAATTTTTATATTAAATCTCGATATGTTATAAGTTATCCATTTAATCGATTTTAAGATGTTATATATTTGAGATATTTTTATTTTCTATAATGAAGGAAAGATTCTCATTTGGGCTTGTACTTATTGGTTATGTTCCCAAAATATACAGTAATTTTAATATATTTGGAAAAAAATTCCAAAATATATTTAAAGTAAGCAAAGCTTCCATTGTGTTTATTTGAAGATTATCTACTAAGATTAATCTTTTATACCAAGATTTAAAGTCTGAAATTAATAGGCCTTCGGATATATTTATATCCTCTGAATGAAATTTAGCTAAATTTAATTTCCCTTTCTTGTAATAAATAAAAGTATCTTTTAAAATAGAAATGTTTAATGTTTTTTTCCAAAATTTAAAAGAAAATTTCTCAAAGTTTTTGTCAATTCTTATTTTTTTTATTGTTTATTCTATTGTTTATAGTAAATAAAAATCACGTGAGATTAAATTTTATTAAATAACAAACATGCCAATATTGATCCTCTATATTACTATATAGTTTTATGCTCAAAAGTTTCTAACTTTGGAAAACCTTGCATGTAAATATTTGGAATCTCTTGCAACAAGTGTTCCATCAGAATCAGTCTTCATCACAGCTGGTGATATAGATAGCCCTCATAGGCAAAGCTTATTATCACATAAACTTTAGGCTCTTATCTTTATAAAGAAAATCCAATATTATAATTGAAATTAATAATTACATTATTTTATTAATTGATATTTAATTTGTTCAATAAAGAGACATAGTTTGTTATACAGAAAATTTAATCTAAAATTGATAAATGAGTATTCTGATCATCATTAGGAAAAAATATGAAACTATATTTATAATTATTCTTTAGGGGCTATAACTTAATAAAATAAGACATGATTTATCTTATGCAAACCTTTTTACAAATTTAAAGGTAAAACATATTTTGAGAATTTAAGCTTTGTGATTATTTTTATCTCACAGTTTTAAGTTGTTATTTTCAGATTATAATAATTAATTAAACAGTTTTTAATTCATGTTTTCCCGGTTTCTAATAAAATTATTTTTCATTTATTGGATTTTACTGAATGTAGTGGGTTTTAGTGTCTAATAAAATTTTTTACCCATTTAATATAAACACTAGCCGTTATCTTTGTTGCATAACTCTAAGCGTACCGCGAACGTGGTCCACGAGCTTGGTATTAGGCCTTAGCTTGAACCGCAAGTTCGCTAAAAAATCTAAGAGAATCTTATTGGTTTCTTCGCGCTGCTTAGCAGTCTTAAGTATATGTTAGATTTTACCGAATATAGTGAGTCTAATGGCTATTAAAATTAGTAAAATTACGAATTTAATTTAAAAACTAAATAAAATTATAAAACTGATATAATTTAACTGTAAAATCATATTTAAAAAACTGCATATAATTTGTCCCTTTTGCTAATTAATTTTTTATTTATACTGTTTATCAATCGGATCGAAATTAAGCTAAAAATATACTATTAAATTACATATTGATTAATACTTTCTAAAGTTTAGCAAACTTCGTGCTTAGGACTGCATATTAATGAGCATTCATTATCAAATTCTTGAACATATAATTCCATTTAAAATTTAAACTATTTTACTTCTATATCTATTAAATATACCGATAAGAACAGAGAATAGCTATAAAGATTAGAGAATCATAAGATTCATAAATATTTTAAATCGGGAAAAGTAAACCTTAATGTATTTGTAAATGTAATTAATTTTGCAATTTAAAATCAGATTACGACTCAATTTAAGGGATGTCTATATTGGCTCACCCAGATTTAGTGTTTCTATAATTTTCCTTCTATCCTTACCTGCCAATAATGCGGTTTTCTTTAAACTATCTATCAAACGAGTTGAAGCACTAAAATATACTAAGTACGCATTAATTTTTGACATATCAGAGTTAATGCTTCCAGGAGTTTTGATGACTTACGCTAGGCACGATGTATAATTTATATTTCGCCTGTAATTCAATTACTTTTTTTATGTCTGGCTTTGATTGAAGAACTCCTTGGATAAGTCCTGGCTACGCCACTGGCTGAAAACTAAATAGTGCTGATCTATGAGTGTTTTATTTTATATAGAATCGTTTATTATTAAAATTATTAAAAATAGTATCTATTTGAAAATATTTTTAAGGTTTGATTTTGCACCATAACTGAAAGATTTACTTTTGTAGTTTTATTCAACAGCTTCAATACAGGTATCTTTAACTTTTTACTTGTAGCACTTTTTATGCTTTATTTTCTCAGTTTTTGATTCAACTCCAAGTTCAGCTTGAAATATTACTTCAAAAGTTTTAATTATGCAACAAAGAAAAATATTTTTATATAAAATTATGTATATTATTGATAAATTATATATTTCTTATATAAATAAAGTATTTTTTTTGTGTCATTCGATGTCCAGAAAAAACACATGGGATATACTATCTTCATTACTTACACCATTCTGTTTCGAAGGAATTAATTGTATAATTTTTGTATGAACTGAGATATTGATGCATCTCTAGTATTATTCGGAAATGATTTTCTTTTATATTTTTACGCCATCAGCTGAGGTATTGATTCCTCTTCTAATATTCTTAAATAATTTCATTTATACTTTTTTTAAATATAATTTGTATTCGATTTTAAGGGAGTTATATTTTTTCACATATTAAAATATGATTATTATGCAGATATTAAATATTTACAATTGAAGTTTTATTTATCATAATCATATAAATTATACTTAATTATTTCAAAAATTATGCAATTAGGGGCAAATCCATTGGTGGAAAACAAAAATGGACATAAACCTATTGATTACATTAAAGGGGAAAAAATGGAAAAACTTTTAAAAGATTATATGAATAAAGTAACATTGCAAATTTATGAATAAATTTTTAACAACACTAATTATCTGTTTTTAAATTGAGTTTCCCCTGAAATATAAACTGTTTATCATATAAATGTATACAAAAAAAACATATACACAATTTAGGAAAAGTTCAATTTTCTAAAACATAAAATGTCTTTAAGAATTCTTTTTTAATCTTTAAGTTTCTTCATTTCTTTCTTTTTTTAAATATTAGACCTTAAAACAATCGTTGAATTCTATTTTCATTTCCTAAGATCTTGTCAAACGGCTCGATTTGAGCCGATTTTGCGATTAAATCAATATTTAAGCTAGAAAACATTTGTGTAAGCATCGAAATTTCGCTAACAGATGCTTTATGCCATAACAAAATCTTCAGGCTTACTTAATATTTTTCTGAATAATTAATGAGTTAGCCTTTAAAAATCGGATTAAATAGAGCCGTTTAACAACACTAGTCCAGATGCACGGGTGCATTCTTTTAAACCAGTACTGATACCAAACCATAAAAATAACTTATCCATATCAAATACTCATTCAATCACAAATTGAGTGAGGTTTCAAGCTCTGCCTTGCCAGCGCAAATTAGGCATTTCGAATGGTATGCAAATTATCGTTTGGCGCTAAAAATCATTTTTATAGGCGTTAACTGGTTTTTTTTAAAATACCTTTTAGCACATTTTTTTGTTTCAATCTAACATACTGAATTTTTTTTAGTATTAAAAATCCCACCTCAATTTAAACTAAGGTTGCGTTACGTTTTTTTTAAATTAATAGAGTACCGCAAAACGCCAACCCTCAATTTGTGCTGTTTACATAAGTTTAGATTTTCAGAACCCAAACCTACAAATAGTTCCACTGGGTCCTTTCTATTTTTATTTTTATAAAAAAAATTTAAAATACTATAAATCTATTAAAAAAAATAAATAAAATTTAAGGGGTGGTGTGAATTTGCATTATTTAAAAAAAAATTATTTAGAAAATATTAATATGTAAAATAATTACACATAAAATAACAAAAAAAAAGTAAAAAGATCAGATCGGTTTTTACAGGTATCGGTCCTATCCGATATTTTTGGTAAACGCTAAATATCGGCGCCGATCCGACTGGATATTTAATATCGGCACAGCCCTAAAATTTATACGCATATATTTTTGATTTAGGGAGGCTAATTATCATTTTTGAATACCGCCCACAAGGTTAAAATTGAATATGAACCGATGCCATGATTAGCGGTACATCGCTGCTCATTTGTGACCCACAATTTTAACCAATATTTTTCATTTTTATCTTTTAATAACTAAGAAGCTTTTAATGGGAAAATGCTCTTAATTTACTTTTGAAACTTGAGAGGAATTCTCTTTATATAAAACTTATTCTCAATTTTTTTTTAGCTTTTTTTAACTAGAATATTTTTATAAAGTTCAAAAATGCAATATTATTTTTTTTTTATATATATTTTCCAAAAAAAATTATTTTTTAAACCGATCCTATCATTTTTATAGTTTGAAATCCTGAAAGCAGAGCGCGAAGCCGAAGAAAGGCGCAAATTTCCCTTGGAACAACGCATTAAACAAAACATAATAGGACAAGAGATGGCTATTTCTATTGTGGCCGGGGCTATAAGACGCAAAGAGAACGGCTGGTTTGACGATGAACACCCATTGGTCTTCCTATTTTTGGGATCTTCTGGAATAGGTTTATTTTTAATAAAAATTAATTTTATGAAAGATAGAATGCATCATGTAATATAAGTTTCTACTGGTAATACTCCACATATTAATCCCCCCCCCCTTCCCCATATTTAAAAGATATTTTGCAAATGAAAACCTTTTTAAAAAAAAATTCCAGTAATTTAAAATTTTAAGCTCCATTGTTAAGTTATTTTTATAGAATAGATTTTTTTTGAATATAGGATCATAATAGATTTGATAAATTATTCAGATCGACTAAATTAGTTACTAATTTATTCGTATGTCCCAAACATTTAAAACTAAATTTACATAACTCATATGTGCTCATTTAAAATTTGCGAATAACATACGATTCCAAAATTTGGTTCACGAAAATTAGTTACTAATTATAGTTATGAAACTTGGACACTTACGCTTAATAACATTCATGAGAAATTCGAAATTTACTATATTATTATATTTGAATCTATAGGTAAAACTGAAACGGCCAAACAAATAGCAAAATATCTACACAATCCAAAATCTAAAAGCAATTCTGCAACAGTTAAAGGTGATAAATAAAACTTATTATTTTTGTTTATTATATGATAATCTTTAAAAAGAAATAATATGGATTTAAGCAAATAATTTTTATAGACCAATGTCTCAGAGCTTAATTGACTATAAACCATCAATTTATATCCCCACTTCCAACTAGAATATTGAATGATGGACTTCAAATAAAGTGTATGATGAATTTTTTATACGATTTTTTTTATAAAATTATAGTTAAACTCTTGTTAATCAGATGGATACTATAATATTGGTTTGTTTATTTTTTCTCGAATAATGTTTATACATTATTTCCATAGTTTTAAATTTTTATGATAAACGTAATGATATTTGATGATAAATAAATATTTGTACGAAAATAAATACCTTTTCAGAGGAGAAATCATAAATATTGTCAAAAAATATTTGTGTAACTTATTCTGTCACCTAATATTAGGGCTTCGAATATCAAAAAATTAAAAATTTTGTTCTTTATATACTTTATTAAGTTTTTAATAATTTTAAATCAAATTAATTTAATATATTTTTAAAATCCCTCCAAATGATTTTTTTTTCATAATTTATAATTACTCACCATTATTTTCAATATCGAATAATGGAAGGATTGATTATAGTAAATTTATAATATCAACTGGGAATTTTTATGCTTTATCCCTTTATATACATAACAAAACCTAGACTTATTTAATAATTTTAAAAACTAAGAACTCCTAAACACCAATTCCATATTGTCATGGGTGACATCTTAGCTATGATATTGCCTGAAGATTTTATTTTAATTTGAAAAATTCGAAGAATTTTTTTTTATTTGATATTGAAGTTCTACTAGTTTCAAAGTGAACAATTACCAATGATTAATTTTTAATTTTAAAGCTATCTGGCAAAAATGGCTCTTTAGTTATAAACTAACGTTATTTATCTTGGCACAAGATTGGCCAGATGAAATAAAAATGAACTTAACTATCTTATAAATGATATATACTACTTTCCAGGGAAAATTTTTTCAAAATTACCACTAATTTTAATAAATGGGTTATACATTTTTTTTAATAATTAACACCCATTTAAATAAAAGCATTAATATTTTGTTTAAAATAGCTTTCTTGCTAAATTCTAGAGCTTTTTTAGATAAAACATTATTTCCCTTGTTGCATAAGGTCATCTTATTATAATTTCCTTCCGTTAGCTCTAAGCAAAAGCAAAATGGTGAAATTTAAAATAATTATAATATCGAAAAGTTATATAATAATTATTTTGAAAATATTATTTTATAATTCCACACTTTGCGCTGATATAATAAAGCTATATTATTTAAATATATCTATAGCTTTTATAACATTTTAATATCGAATATTATTATATAATTTATTTCTTTGAATTCATATATATTTAATATGTATGATTAAATTTTATACTCTACTAGAGGAAACAGCAAACTTCTTAGTAATTCGCGAACGTTGTTTTAATTTTATATAATTTTGCTTATAAAAAAATATTCGGTTGTTTCTTGTAATTTTAAAATATATCCCCGGCCCGAAAGATCTCCAGTGTAGGTAATATTATATTATAAAATGATATTAAGATTACGATTTTAAATAAAACATTTAAAATTTCCTTGTAAATTATGTATAAGCTTCGAGATTTCAATAATATATGTTATGACCTTTGTTCTTTCTATGAACAAAATCTTCAGGCTTGCCTAATATTTTTCTGGATGAAATATTGAGTTAGCCGTTTTTAAAAATCGGCTCAAAACAAGCCTGTTAACAAGAAAAAAATCGAGAATAATTATATCGTCGAGTCAATATTTCGTTTTTATGTTGAAGGGTTCAGCGAGGTTGTTATAATCTAATTATCTTGCTTTTTTAAAATATTTATAAAATTTCTTTTATAAATAAATAAATAGAAATAATATTCTTTATCAAAAATTCCCTTGCCTACCATTTGTGATGGCAAGGATTCGAACCCAGGATATGTAAGGTTTCGATCAACTATTTGATATATCCAGAAAATTATCTCACGTTTAGGGTTTCTATTGTTTATTGTAATAAAATATGATAAAATATTAGATAAAATTCTATTATTAAAAACATATTAAAGATTCTTCAACAAAATAATATTAATATTTTATCACATTTCACCAATAAATGCTCTAAACAAAAGTTAGTGATAATAATTGACATAAAAATATTTAACGCCATCTATATAATTTTTTATTAATTATATTTTTAGGGTTTTGATTTTATGATGTCGGTCTATAATAGTTTATTAAACAACGTGCAAATTTTATAAGTGCTAAGTTTTATTTTTTTATCTAGTTATAAAAATTTTGTCAAGGAGATTTTATTCCCCCCCCCTTCTTCCTCATATAATCATTTGTATTAATTATATTTCCATTATATCTATTATTATACTTTGTATTATGAAGTCGTTGTTTGTTAAATTTCTTGAATTTTCTAGAATTATGTTTTGGACATGATTTTATTTTTATACTATCATTTTGTCAGATTTAATTTGTCTATTACATTATTAATAAATTTACTAATAATATAAGAAGTTTGAATAATGACTTAAATAAAAATATTTTTTAATTATCTACATTAAATTGCAACACTGTTTATAAATGTGCAAAATTTTAATTTTTAATAGGATTTGTGAGAATGAATTACAAACAAGATTTATATTAAACTTTAATTTAAAAATTACCTATTTATAAAAATGCTAGCTAATAACTCGTCAAGAATGACGGGGTTGAGGGGTAATTAGTTAGTTTGTATATATAGTACTAAATATGCTTTATATTAAAATTTAGGAGAAAAAGATGTAAAATTGTTGCAATGTAACCCGTGGGCATGGGCATTAAGGGTATTAGAAATATCAAAATTTAAATTTGTGATAGGAATCATATTGGGTAAAATTAAAAATAGAGATGCTTCAAAATTTTTGAATTTTAAATATGGGCTAGACATTGGCCTGAAAATTTTTTGCAGACATCGCCAGGCCTGATCAAAAAACCAAGTCACATGCAACTTCATAAAATTTTGCCACTTATTTTTATTGTAATTTAATAAAAATGTCTTAAATTTAATTATTTTAGATTTGTGATATATTGAATTAAATTTAAAATTGAGATGCTTGGAAATTTTTTAATTTTAAATATGGGGTAGACATTGGCCTGAAATTTTTTTTCTCAAACCTGGCCAACCCATAATAATTTTGTAATCTCTGAAAACTATATTGTTTACAAAATTTTCTCTAGCCCGCTTATCGTGCTAAATATTGTCTTAAATGGCTAAAAATAACCGGGCCGGGCCTAAAAAATTTTTTAAAAATATACCTGGGTCATATATTTTAAAACCAAATATTTTAAATTGCCATTATTAGCTATAAAAATTAAAAATAAATATTAAAAAAAATGGTACCTTTACAGGTCTCTGCTAAAAATTTCGTAATTACCCATCTATTGCAGTAATTATCGAGCGAACTTTTTTAATATCATATCGGAATCTTTGTATTTGAAAAGATTTTTTAAAACTTTTTTAGGCTTCATTCGTCTCGATATGTCCGAATACCAAGAGAAGCATGAGGTGGCCAAATTCATAGGTTCTCCTCCTGGCTACGTTGGTCACGAAGAAGGTGGTCAACTTACCACCAAACTCAAGGAGTGTCCGGATGCCGTAGTGCTCTTCGACGAAGTTGATAAAGCCCATCCTGACGTTTTAACCATTATGTTGCAATTGTTTGATGAAGTATAACATTTGCGAATTTCATCATTCTATCATTAGAGATGAAGTGTATCATGAGCTAAAATAAATAACGCATATTAACAAATAGGTCTTAAAATAAAAATGTTTTGCATTATTTTATTATTTTTTAAGTTTCTTATTGATTTTAAATTATCCTTTTTAAGAAAGAAAGAAAAATAAGGCGAGAAAAGGGCAGAAAACTATATTTAAAACAAATCTATTTTAGTATTTTTCAATGTAGTATAAAGTTTCCGAATATTTTAAAATGCAATAGCTTATCCCATTTCTGAAACGACAAATTCTTATAAATAATTTTTAAATTTGCAGAAACAAACATTATATTAAAGTTACCCAAAAGATGATATATTTTATTCCGAAAAAATAACATTTAATAAAACGATTTATAAAATGTTTATTTTTCCATCTTTATCCTTCCCTTTAGGGACGACTTACCGACGGAAAGGGTAAAACTATCGAATGCAAAGACGCCATATTTGTTATGACTTCGAATCTGGCCAGTGAAGTTATCGCCAATCACGCCTTACAATTGAGAAAGGAAGCTGCTGAAATGGCTAAACAGAAAAAAAGTAATTTTTTTTGATATGCTGTAATCTACTTCTAAAATAGAATAAAATAAAGAAGGAAAGGTATAATTATCTAAAAGCTGCTCATTTCTGGGTTTAATAGAAAAATCAATATAAAGCGTACTAATGCTAAGTGGAGGTACTCCATAGAAAAAAAAAATTTTACGGCCAAAGTTATTTAAAGAGGAGATCTAAAAATATTCAAAATAATTCATGCTTGAAAAAATCCACCCAAATTTCTCCTCTTACAAAATTCGTGGATATTCAATGTGCACTATATAGTAGTGCGCGGGTTAGAAATATTTTCAAAACATTGTGACCATCGTAAAAAAATTTCGGGCAAAATGAGTATAACAGGCTTATATTTATTAAAAATAATTTTTTATTTTACAATATTGCATTTTATAAATTTAAAAAAATGTATTAAAATAAAATAAAATATCACTTAAAGCACTTTAATAGATTTTGATACAAATGATTCCCTTAAAAATTTTCAGGATCTCCTTCCTAATTTTTTTATTAAATATCAATCTAACTCTAACATTCATTAGTCCCTAGTCTAATCCTAGATTCAATGAAATCAGATTTAGTCAATATATAGAAAATTTCTATATGTTTTGTTTAAGGAGTTTGACAGGGATCAGCTTAAAGGACTAGATTAGGAGATGGCATCTTTGGATGTTTTATTCATTAAATTATTAATGATTGCCATATAATCCATAATAATTAATTTCAATGCCTATTCATGTATATTTTTTTCTTTAAAGATTTAGAAAATCTAGAAGATATTGAAGAGATAACGTTATCCAAGAAATTCAAGGAACAAGTTGTCGAACCTATACTAAAAGTTAGTAAACATTTATGTGTTTAGATTTTGAATATTAAACAATGTAAACATCATTTTGTCAGGCAATTTATAATTTTTATATAATTATATCAAACTTATAAAAGAGACATTTTAGAAGGGACGAATTTTTAGGAAGGATCAATGAAATTGTTTATTTTTTGCCATTCTCTCCACCCGAGATAACCAAACTAGTCCTCAAGGAACTAAAATTTTGGGCTGTAAAGGTTACATAATAATTTTGATTTTTTTTTATAAAAAAATGCTTATTTCATATTTTAGTTGTCTAGAGAAAGTCCAGCATTCCCTCCCAATAGCATTTTTGGGACGTGCTCCTTGGACCTTCTATACTATATTTTTATTTCGTTACCACTTTTTGTATACACATTGTCTCGATAAAATTATAAAAAATTATAGGCCAAAAAACGCAACGATATTGAATTATCTTGGGACCGAGAAGTTTTAGACGTGTTAGCCGATGGTTACAATGTTCGATACGGTGCTAGATCTATCAAATATGAGGTTGATTTAATCTTACATTTCAATATTATTGACAATTTCTAAGTGTTATGAACAAAAGCCTGACTTTAAGATAGACATTGCCTAACATTCGTGCATTCCAAAGGGTGCAAAGCAACACTCCTGTCCTATATATGTTACTATAAAAAAATTTTGATCTCACATAAAAGGTAGATTATGAATATCAGCGCTTGAAACTTGATGATTCTTAAAAAAAGGATATTTCCTTTACTTTACATCTCATTTATTTTTCAAAATTGAATACTTTATTCAGACTGAATATATTTAAAAGGGGAGGATATTTGATGGCTATTAAGCCTGATTTTTGAGAGAGAAAATATGATCTAGGACTAACTAATAACAAACCAAAAAATGTGTTTCCTATTCGCTTTTCTGAATGGGTTACAGAAATATCAACAACAAAAGAGCCAAGCCTCGACATAACTTTGCGAATATTTTTTTAATGGATTAAAAATGAAATTATGATGGATATCCAATTCCAAATATTGATTATTCCATTATTTTATAATAATAACGTAGAATTTATTGATTAATATATTTTAAAATATTACTAAAATAGGACGATGCACAGAGAGAGAAAGATAATATGTTCCTTTTTTGATATCTCTACCCTTAATATCTTTTTAGAGTTTGGAACCTGAACTAAAAAGGGTTCCATTTTTTTAAAGATTTGACTAGGATTTATATATCATTTTTCTAAGAACCAGTTTCGGTTTCTAAATTTCTTTTTTCTTTAGAAAAAATTATGTAGCCGATTTGAATTATTTAATTAAATTTACTATAAAATGATAATATCATATAAATAGGTGGAAAGAAGGGTCGTCAATCAACTCGCCGCCGCTTACGAACAAAATCTAGTGGAAAAGGGCAGTTCAATTCATTTAAAAGTTGAGAACGATCTTAAGAAAACGCGCTCTATTAATTCTTCAGATTCGGGAGAAGGCCAATTAATAAAACTTCAGCTGATCAGAAAAAATAATAAATCCTCGAATGATCTATTTTCCAACCCCGAAAAATTATTGATTTTGGATTGAACATCATCTCACTTTTTTAAAAAATAAAAAGAAACAAATTAATTTAAATTATCGGCCTAATTTAAGTATTAAATATTATTTTTGACACCATGAAATCGATATTATCGCATTTGGAAACGCAACATTATAGAATAGGATTTTATTTTATTGCAAAATATTCATAAACTTGTTGGGGACACAACCATTTTTTTTTCTTATCACGTAAAAAATTTTTGGCATAAATAATGGGCATATTCATGAAAACCAGTAATTCAATTTCGCTTACAAATTATTGGATCATAGTGTGCTATTTTAAAATATTTACGATTAATTTTAATTATAAAATATAATTCAATTAAATAATCAGTCATTTTTTAAAAAAATTTATAAATATAAGGAAAAAAAAGTTGCTGCGTCGAAACGCAAAGCATTTTAAATGGTATCCTGCAAATTGATGAAATTTAAGCATTTGGTTAAAAAACGCAAATAGATTTTTTTTAAAGAATTCTAAAATTCGATCTCAATTTGGAAACGCTAAGATTTTATTTGTTTGAAACGCAATACAAAACTAATACGCCAAATTTTGAAACACTATTAACCAAGAATGAAAACGAATATTCATAAAAAAAGATATATTGTAAATTCAAAATGTACTCTTTTTTTTGAGATGCAAAATTACGATCCCATTTCAAGGCGCTTCGATTTTTTTCGGCATATCCTAGTTATTTAAAAGTTTACCCTGCGCTGATTTTTACAATTTGGTTATCACTGTATTTTATGGTTCAAAAATGGGAATCCAAAATACGAGAAGCAAATTAATATTTCAATGTGGAAGCTTTTTATAAAATTCGACGAGTTTGTTTTTTTAGGCTTCATCCGATACCAATGTACAGCTTAGCCCATATACTCGAGCCGAACCTTAATCCCGAATAATATTTTCCCACCAATTAATAATAATGAAAGGGGTTAAGATATAGGTTTTATAATAATCTTTGCTGTTTCTTTTGATAAATAGGGTTTTCGGTTAAATATTGCATTTCTATGTTAAGGTTTTTAAGTTAAAATTGTAATTTTTGAAGAAAAAACAAAATCATAGTAAATAAATTACAATCATATCATCATCCATTATATTATGTTAATGAATTTATAATGATAAATATCGTGTATAAAGTAGGGTTGACAAAATCATCGATTTGAAAAAATAAAAAATATAAACCAAATATTAATATTTTAATTAAAGAAGTAGACTTAGAAGAAAAATATCATACATCATAATTTTTTACCTGTAAAAATTTAATGCTTCAGGAGATCTAGTAATTGAAAAAATAATGATAAGTCGCCAAATGAAAATCCGATTTTCAATCAAAAATTCGATATATGCAAACTGTTTAAAAAATTTTAACTATTCGATATCAGTTAGTCTGAAAGACATTCATTTTCTTTAACGAATACTAATCTGAATATCCTTAAATAAAACTGTTAAATTTTATTTTATAGACTAATAAAATAATGGTGGTTTAATTATTTTCAATTTTGGCTCTGTTATTTCACAATTGGGTGTACTGATACATTGGTCAAATTTAATATATTCGTTAATTTGAAATAATTTTGATTTAATTTTGTGGCAATTGTTTAGTATGTCCTAAAAATTTTAAAACTCTTCCTCTCCTTTCTTTTCTGTTAGAAACTAGTTCTTCAGTTATATTATGTTAAATATGATTTAATTAAAATATATTCGTTAATTTGAAATAATTTTGATTTAATTTTGTGGCAATTGTTTAGTATGTCCTAAAAAATTTAAAACTCTCCCTCTCCTTTCTTTTCTGTTAGAAACTAGTTCTTCAGTTATAATCTGTTAAATATGATTTAATTAACCTTTTTCCTGAAGATAAATCAATTATTTATAACAAAATATTACACAAATCATAAGCAATTTAATTATTTTTAAAATGTTTAGTTATTTGACAAAATTTAAAAAAAAGATTATGTCTAAATTAGATTAGTTTATTATTCAATTATTATATGGAAGCTTTTATAACCCACCATCTTGAAAATCAACATTATTATAATACTTTCACCGACATTTCTTATATCATCTAACCCACAATATATTACAAATTTAACAAACAATGAAACTGTAGTGGCTATTTTCAGCTAATATCTTATCTATAAATCATGGTAAAATTACACGCCACAACCCGTTTAATAAAATTATGTATTCCGATGAAATAATTTGATGAATCTAATTCATAGTAAAATAGCTTCAGTAGAATATTTTCTATTTTAAGAACCCCTTTTTTAGAAGTAGGGTTCATAGCCTTGAATTTAGCAAACTAATTATTTTTTTTAGAATATTATTCAATTAATAATATCAAAAATTAAAACAATGATAAATAGTGATTACTAGTACAATTTAATATTTTCATATAAAAATTATTTAATTCTAAAATAATCTGTCTTTGACTTTCTTATATTAAGTATTTTGATCAAATTTAGTAAATAAAATTTTATTAAGAATATTGTCAAATCACCGTCTTTTAAAAAAATTCGGGGTGATTTAAATCAAATTGATTTTTATTTGCCAACCCTAGTATAAAGGTAGATTCTACGAGGTTTTGATATTTATTTAATTTATATTTCTACTGTATCTTGAATATATATTTAATGATTCTAAATATATGATTTCCTATATATTATCTGATAGACAATATTTTTTTATTTAATTAAATCTATAATTTATATATCACATTTCTATAATAGTGTATAATGGTTACATAACATAATTATAATTAAATTCGAAATATCTTTCCTTTATCCAACATTATTTGATTCGCATTGGACATCGTAGCCAATGCTGCATCTATCTCATTTAAAGTGAATTCATTAATATCTGGTGTTATATCTATATTGATATTTTCGTGCACGTATTTCAATTCTACAAATTCCGAGTTGAAAGAATCGAATATTTTTAGCAACAGTTTCTTGAATTGTTTTAATCTTTAGAGATAAAAAAAATAAATAATGGTTAAACAAAAGAATTGTCTTAAAAATACAGCAAAAACCGTTTAAAAAGTTTTTAAGAGGCAAGATATTTTAAACGATAGGGCAAAATATTCATAAAACTGCTGGGACACGAAATCGCAAAATAAGAATGCAATCATAAAATATTCAAAAGGTCATAAATCAACCAGTTAAAATTTTCCTAGGTAATAATTATAATTGTCACCTATAAAATATATTTTTTGAGGTTTCATTATCTAGATTTTTCTATTGAAATAAAAGGTTTTTAAAAAATAATATAAGCATGTGTGATGCTTTTGTCAATTTTAGGAGATAAATAAATGATATATTTTACCTATCATCGGCTATTATTTGAGGTAATTTTTCAGTATTCACATCCAAATCCATATCTTGTGAGATGGACACTTCTTCGGGCAAAGTATTATCTATATAAAAATGGAGATATTAATTTTTAAATTAAGTAGAATTGTGAAATAAATTAATTGTGTGAAATAATAAAAAAAATATTCTCAGCAATAAAAATACTTGGAATAAGATCAACGCTGATTCTCAGCATTTTAAAAATCAGCAGATACTCTGAAAATACCGATCCCGTACATATAAAAAAAACAAATAATATAACTAAAATTAGAAAGATAAAATTTAAGAAAGGTAAAATGAAAAAGTAAACCCTAAATTTTTAAAGAAAATCTCAATAATTTATATATATATTTATCTTAACATTTTGAGTATTATCGCGAATGTCGATTACCGCGAAAAGATATTATAGCGAATGCATTATGGCGAATATAATACAGCGAAAATATTATAGCGAATGTATTAGCGCGAATGTAATACCGCGAAAATGTTATCGCGAATGTATTATAGCAAATACATCAAAGCGAATGAATTATCGCGAATATATTACCGATGCATTATAGCGAATGTATTATGGCAAATGAATTATCGCGAATATATTATAGCGAATCCATTATAGCGAATGCATTATAGTGAATGAATTATAGCGAATGCATTATAGCGAATGAATTATCGCGAATGCATTATAGAGTGCATTATCATATCGCGAATGGAGTTTCAAGAAAGTTACAATTTTATATTTATCGACTGACTTAGTTGAATCTGAAAATTAAGTTAAAATGGGGATTGGCTCTAAAAACATTGTTTTATTGAAATTAAGGCTAAGGCTTTTCTTTTTTTTTGACTCAAAATATATAAAAAAGATTCTAAGTAATAAAATAGATTTCTCTTTTTCATCTAATCATTTTAAATATTAAACATCAAGTTTTTTCTTTTTAATTTATTGAAAACTTGTAGGGGAGAACAGGGTTATGGCGAACCCAATGACATATAATAATACCTAGACTGACGATTCATTCATTAAAATGCATTTTTAAGCGTCGTTAAAAGCAAATCAGCTGGACCCGCCATTTTGGTAACCTTTATAATAATTATTTTCATGTTAAAAACTAATATTAAATTGATAACTTACTTTCTTATTATCTCGATGATCAGGCAATTCTTTAATAAAGTTTGCATCAGATATAATATAAAATTAGGCTCTCGTTTAAAATTTTAATATTTATTACAGTAACCAAGATGGCGTCTCTAGCTGATTTGTATTGATGTACACTTTTAATGAATGAATCGTCAGTCTAGGTATTATTATATGTCATTGGGCGAACCCTAAAGGCAAACCTTAAGAAAATTATAAGTACTTTATCATTTTTAATAAAAAATATCTCATTTTGTTCAGCTCTATTAGTTTTATGATATGTTTAAATTTCAAAAATACATCTCTAATAATTTTTTCAAAATATCATTTTTCCTGGAATTTTTTTTGGTAACCGAGTGAACCCTACCCGGGGACGAACAAGCCCTTGGTCGAGGCTATTATAAACTGTTTAATTTTCCATATATAAAAGTTATATATTTTTTTATTAGGATATATTTAATGATTTAAAACATAAAAGTGTTATATAAAATCATTTAAAACATTCACAATCTTTGCAAATAAAAAAACAATAAAATTGCAAAGCCATATAACTAATAACTGACATTGAAAGCAGTCTTGATTGTTATGCTTGATATAATTTATTTATATACCAAACATTTATTTATCATATAATAACATTTTTCGATTTTTTTTCTTTTAGTTGGTCTCTCCTTGGCTTTTTTGCATGTCAAATTTTTAAAAAATAGCAAAAAAAAAGGTTCGACCTAACCCCATAAAAATAGCCCCAGTAGCACCACTTTGATTAAGATCATATTTTGAAGTATTTATATTATCAATTTTCTTCGGGTAAATTGTTATTCTATAAAATAGGATTTTTTCTTTTATATAAGATGATTTTTGTGTGGTAAAATTGTATATTAATCTTTATTTTTGGAAAATAGTAAAAGTATAAAAAGTTACTTTTGAAGGTACGAATGATATAAAGCATTATAAAAATTCTTCAAGCGGTCCGATAGAAATAAAAATTATAGCCGCATATGCAATATATAAGTATATAGTTTTGGTAAAAAATTATCTCTTAGAGTTTAATACTCTAGAAAATAAAGCCACTCTCACTATAACCCTGGGTTCATTATAACTCCGGTCTCCCCTAATTATGGGCATCAGAAATTTTTTAGCTTTAGTCCAATGTTCCCCTTCATCTAATCTTAAAAAATTTAAAAATTATCAACATATTTTTTTAGCGCTGGAAAGGGTTAATCATATCAGTAACTAGGGGCTAGTAGAATTAGGCCGAATTAATTATATTATGCTTAAAAATATGATATAATAAGTATTCATTGGCTATTATAGCTTTAAATTCTATTTTTTTCCCTTTAATTTTCACCTTTTCTGGTGGTTGATAATCAAAAGAATTAGAAAAAAATTAAAAAATTCATTAAAACTTAAACATTTTTTAAAATAAAATATCACATTTTGAAATTTTTTATGAATTATTTATATACAAATGGTGTATTATTGATAATAACAATTATCCTATAGGAGACTTAATAAACCAATATAATCTACAAGCCTGGGGTTTGGGGCTTGTTGGGGCAAAAATTAACTTTTACTAGAATCAATCTTAAAATATAAAATATTTATTAATAGGGTCTTTTGTAAAAAACGACTTAATCTAATCGTTAAAAAAATTGAGTATACCAAATTCCACATATTTTTTAATAAAATACGAATTTCATAAATAACAAGTGACGTGTTTTAGAGGTAAATAATTTTAAAACGCTACTTTAAATAAATATAGACAATTAAGCTGATTCTCTGGTTTTTTGGAACTTAATAAATGGGTTAAATATAATTTTGTCAAATATAAATCACTATTGCATTGTGATAATGTTAGTTGTAATGCATTCGCGATATTGCATTCGCCATAATGCATTCGCTGTAACGTATTCGCTCTAATACATTCGCTATGATACATTCGCGATAATACATTCGCTGTAATGCATTAGCTATAATGTTTTCGCGGTAATGCATTCGCGCTAATATATTCGCTATGATGCATTCGCGGTATTACATTCGCTATAATATTTTCGCGGTAATGCATTCGCGCTAATAATTCGCTATGATACATTCGCTATAATGCATTCGCGGTAATGCATTCGCTATAATATCTTTTCGCGGTAATCGACATTCGCGATAATGCATTCGCGATAATACATTTCGCGGTAAAAGTTTCGCGGTATTGACGTGATACGTTTGAGGAAAAAATTATATAATCCATTTTATAATAAATTTGATTTTTTTATTATTTTTCTTAGATGCTATGATAAGAGAATGCTTTATTACCAATTTCCTTTAAAATTATCTTATTCCTTAAAATTTTTATTTAAAAAATATGAATGCTCGCTTAAATAATAAAAACCTATAATATAAATTTAAATATAAGAGTTCTACAAATATTGGCCCATATCGAAATCGGATGTTATCGACATTTAAAAAATATTTAGGTAAAATATCGGAATTGGTATTGGCAGCTAGAATCGTGAATCTTTACTCAATAGATTATATATATTACAATAAGAAAACTAGCTCTAATATTCTAAGTAGTTAAAGGTAAACCTGGAACTGGTTTAGAATCGTTACACAGTCAGAAAACAGTTTTTAAAAAGTGATTGACTGCATTCAGAAATTGAAACCTACTGAAATCTAAGCTATTTTATCATGCGAAAATCGATTATTATGTTTTCTATCATATCTTTAAAGGCTCCTAAAATGGTATCAAATAAAAATGTCTTATTACATCCAATGTTAAACACATATTCTATTGTTTTAGAAATTCTGATTTTGTCAATTTTTGGAATAGCATAAATTGAAATAGTAAGTAATCATTTTATATCAACCGAGCGTGATATAGGGCTTTGATAGTAAGATAAAAACGATACTAATTATTTTAAAAATCGGCTTAAAATTAAACGTGTAAAAAATGATTTCTTTGGTGGCAATCAAGGTTAAATGACAGGGAAATGTTTAGAATCACCCAAGATATTATATCTCTAAATAGTACCCGAAAAACAGATCTCAAAAAAGAGGATCAATCTTTGCCAAAATTAGAGTCCTATCATTGCTGGCAAAGCATACAGAAAATATATCTTCATGCCTATAAAATAGAGTCGATGTTTTTACGATGGGTACAGATCCCTCAGGTATTACTTTATTTTATGAAAAATTTTAATTGTGGCCAAAATTCAGCTCAAAATCTTGTACCAGTAGTGTTGCTATGCGGCCTCGATTCAGCCAATATTAAATTAAGATTTTAGCCAACATAATATATCATAAGCCTCGAGATTTTGCTAATAGATTTCCAAGCTTTTCTGCAAACTATAAACAAAATTTCCAGGTTTTTGCAATATTTTTTGGGCTAAAATATTGGGTTAGCAGTTTAGAAATCGAGCCGTTTAACAACTCTATCCATAAGCTTGGAATTTCCCTTGGGCACAATCCATTGTCTAAAGCCAAGGGTTCTAAGACTTCTTTACGCATTATTAATTTTATGTTGTTTTTTTCTTATACTTGCATATCTCACGCTCGGTTGACGTGGAATAAACAAGAGTACTATGTAAAACTAAAACAAACATGATTTTTTAAATTGTAACTTAAGAAATTATAATATTTAGGCCCTAAATTATTATAAATAAATATATTTATAATTAATAATCAAGCCCCTCCTATTGTTGTCAAACGGCTAAGCCGATGCGGCTAAGCCGCCACTCGAGTCGAGTTTTTAGTCGTAATAAACGGCTCAGCATTGAGCGGCTCAATCAGCCGTTTGAGCCGAATCCTGAGCCGATTTTATATTTAAAAATATTTTATATATAAAAGAAAGATATCAAATTTATAAAGAATAATACAAAGTTGTTAAAATATACTTTTTTTTATTATTTGGTGTTACTGAATTATATATTTTAACCGACC